ATCATTAGTTTGTTCTGAGTTGATGTGAAATAATATGAAAGGTGAAATTACATGTTGGTAAGGAATCTGTTAAATTGTGGCAAATCCATGCACAATATGGATGGTAGACAGATACTACCTGCTCAGTTGTGTTCGACTATTTGAGATCCCATGGACTGTAGCCCGCCAGGCTCCTCTGTCCATGGACTTCTCCAGGCAAGAATCCTGAGTGCATTGCCATTTCCTCCTTCAGGGGATCTTCCAGACCTGGGGGTCGAACCCTGCGTCTTTTGCATTGGCAGACAGATATTTTACCCCTGCAGCACCTGGGTCAACATCAGAGTTTACCCAGCCTGGAAGCATCACTCCCTTGTGGGTTAGTAAGGGAAGAAAACCTTCACTGTACCTTCATCTGGGCTGGTCTCTCCAGTAAGCAAGGGGACTGGTATGAAAGAGCAGTGGACACAGTGTGGATCTGAGATGGCTTGGGAGTTGGGCCCTAGTTCTTCCTTAGTACAAGGGGTTGCTGTCACAGAGAAAGGTGCAGGATATGCAAGGACCTTATTCATACAGTATTCATGGTTAAAAATATAAACTTCAGTGTCAGACAGACCTGGATTTAAAGCCCAGCTCCAACATGAACTACCATGGGGACCTCTTAAAATTTACTTAATCTCCTGGTCTTTAGGTTTAGGTTCCCAACTCATAAAATGGGAAGAAAAATATTCTTCCTGACTCATAAGCTTGCAAAAATGACATGCTGTGTATGAAATACCACATCAGTTAAGACACAAACTAAGCATTCAATAAGGTAGTGATTTTTTTCCATTATTAAGAGAGAGAATCAGGAATGCAAACTTACATCTAAGAGAAGATCCTGACATAGCTAGTTTTCAAGGTTTTAGAATGAATTAGGGAAAGGAGTTTATGGAATAGATTTTCTTGGAAATCTTTAAAAGTAATGCTTGTTTTTTACTTTCCATGTTGGCTTAAATTGCCTTTCCATTGAGATTGGAACTAAATAATTAATGGCAACAGTTTCCAAATTAGGAAGATGTACTCAAAATGTGCCCAGAGAAACACTCTTTTAAGAAGCAGGAAAATCCATCTTTGTTCCTCTTCTTAAATGTGGTACCTTGGAAAATACATACTTCACTTAAACATCTGTTCAGAGGTATGTATTAATGGAATTGAATGGGGAAGGCAGGCTGCAAGGGATTGCTTCACTTCTTTCTTACCATTTGCCATGGACCACATTTTTCTGCTTCTTCATTACTTGGCCTTTTTCAGTGGCAAAATTAAGGAAACAGGGACATATGGAAGTTGGTACTTTCTTAGAACTAGCCAGATGGAAAAGTGAGGTCATCATGGCCTACCTAAGAAGTAAGGAAATATTACCTGCAAACACCTGAGCCCCTTGAATTATATTGACAATATTTTTTGGAGTCCAGAGCAGTCCTTACTTAAGGATTTTGAGTGCCTGTTTCATTTTAATCAGGAGACTGGTTCCAACACTATGTGTTTAATTTCAAAATTCAGTCTGGCTACACTGTATCAATTTATACAATATGTATGCTTAAATAGGTTGGAAAAAATGGCCCCTAAATTAGTAGGGTCAAAAAATTTACAGAAATCTGGAGAGTATAGAGAATATCTCTAAAGTACAAGCACATAATAGAGGTTTGAAGGTTGATAATAGCTTTGTGATGTTAGTATAAATGAACATATTAGTCAATAGACTAATCAATGATGTAAATACTGCCTGCATAGAACTGTACAGGTTGGGTTTGGGGGATATGAATAGTACAGAAGGAATGTAAGACTTGACCTTTGTGCCTACTCAGGAATATAATAACATAAAGATGATAATGACAGGCACAATTGTAGAGTTTGTATTATATAGGTGTAGGGATTTCCGATCCTGGCACATTTCCTACACAGCTTTTGAAAATGTGTATGTTTCTTCTGTAGGATTCTAAGCTGACTGCTCCTTTTTTCATATCAGCTTTATCTGAGCCTCTCTTTAGAATTCCATAGTAGCAACTTTCTGTGTTCCTGCCTGTCTGGATCACCTTGTCAAGATAATCATGTTTATCAGAAGTTCTAAACCTTTCTGTGCTCAGAACTACTTGGGTGTCTTAATAATATTTGGAAGATGTCTTTCCCATTGTCATAACCTAAGCTTTCTGTCAATCAGTGTTTATACATCTTCAGACTATCTCCAGGCTCTGACCTAGTGCTCCTTTTATGTCAGGAGACTACCAGTTCCTATTCACACCATCCTGCCCCTGCTCTTTATTTTGCCTTTTCCCTCAACCATTGATTCACTGTCCACCAACGGCATTATCCAGCACTGAAATTTTCCATACTGGCCAGAGTTGGGAAGATTGGTGACTCAAGTGTAACAGATGAAAGCAACATTAATTAAAGGGCCAAAAACTGTGAATATAAAATTTCTCTCAACTATCATACACCAGAAGTTCTCAAAGTTTACTAAGGGTCAGCATCCTAGGGACATTCTTGAGCATCACTGTCACGCATGGATTAAAATCATTTCCATGTCACATATAAACAAAACAAAGGGCCATCTCACTTAATTCTGTGTGAGGGAGTTCTTCACCTGAAAGTCCCTGGAGATTCTGATAGGATTCTAGGTATCCCTGGAATTCCACCAGTTGTACTTTATATTACATTAGCATGTGTGATATTCCATCTGGATGCTTCAGAGAACCCACTGCTCTCAGAAAGTGAGTTAGTCGCTCAGTCATGTCCAACTCTTTGGGACCCCATGGTATGTCCAAGGAATTCTCCAGGCGAGAATACTGGAGTTAGTTGTCATTCTCTTTTCTAGGGGATCTTCCCAACTTGGGGATTGAACCCAGCTCTCCTGCAATGTTCTTATTATGGTTAGCAGAATAATTCCACTAGTACTACATAGCCCTTTGTAATCAATTACTGCATTCTTTTATGATTATCCATTGATTCCTATCAAGATGTAGATGAACCAACCAATCAGCCAGAAAGTTTAGATGGAACACCTCTGGATCCAAAGATTAGAGTCCCTGCTTACAGATAATCAAGGGAAGGACATTGACATCTACGATTAAGACCCCTGAGGGTAAGAACTTTGCTTTTCTTGCTCCAGACTTGTCCCATGTGCCTAGAAGAGCACCCAGTAAATCATTATTAAAGAGGTGAATTAGAGACCTTAGGAGTTTGTACAGTACATATCATAATGATATTGCTGGATAAACAAAATGCCCATGGTGGCTGATTGGACAGAGCCCTTACACCTGGAGAGGACTGCTGACTAAAGTAAATAAGGGGCTCAATTAAGACTGCATATTAATAAACTGCAAACTTGCTTCAAATAGGGAAAACAAATTGAAATTTAAATATGTCACAATTTCAAATCTTTCTTTACACCCGATGTTTGACATAGGAAAGAACTCAGTTAAAGACTATCTGGAGGTGAAGAAGATCACCTCTTCACCACATCCTTCTCTTGAGCAAGCAATAATGTTGATGGCAAAGGGTCTGGGAAATGAAAAGCAGGCAACCCGACCACATCTATTCATCACACTCCCTTCAATAAGTGTGAGGCAGGCAAGCCCTTACCTAGACTTCAAACTAATGAATCATCTGTCTAGTCTCAGTAAACCCCAAGGGATTGCTCCTGCGAACAAGAGGCTGAAATCTTGTCAGCCTCTGGATCCATAAACAAGGGCAATATGTTAAAAGGAGGCAGGTCATGGGATTTTCTGAGGAATCCCTAGTTTCCAAGTGCATTAACTTCTCCTTCAATTCAGGAAAAAGAGCCCTTTACCTCAAAAATCCTGAGAAATTTATTTTCCTAAATTGTGTACAGATGCTGATTGTATCAAATAAATTAATAGAAATATTAGCAATTTCCTATATCTGGCCACCCATTCATTGACACTGGGATCACTTCTATTCCATGATTTCCCTAGAAGCACACACACATCCTCATACACATTAGAAGAAAGAAAATTCCTTCTTCTTGGGAAACACCTGCCTTGGGAATTCTTGACTGTGCAGCCTCTGACCTGTTCAAGGCTGAGCATACAAATGGTGCAGTGACTCTTTTGGAAGTCACATTTGTCCCTGAAACTTCAGTCACCTGGAGACTGCATGCCTCATTGCCTGCAGCAGCTCAATCCTGACAGTGTGGAATGAGTTTAGAAATCTCATCTGAGCAACAAAATCTGTTGAGAGTTTATACAGTACTGTTTATTTAATGCCAGAATTATCATTCAAGGCAACTTTTGCTGACTGTGGAATTTTTCCTTTTGCTATTGGGCTATTATAATAATCTTGCTTTGGTTTGGATTTAGGGTCTGTGTGTGTGGCGGGGAGGAAATAACAGGACTCAGCTAACTACTACATCCGTTAGCTGCACATCTCCATTTTCACACAGAGAAAATTCCTGCTTCTTTACCTATGCAAACACACACACACATGATTCCTGGAATCCTTACCCATTCATGCCCACTGCTTTCAGACACACAGTCGCAGGGCAGCAAAGCACAAACTCCCTGCATGTCAAAATCAAGCAAGGTTGAAGATGTGAAGGAGTCGATATGGCACCAGGTGGGATGTGTAATCAGTAATAAGAAATACATCGAGCCCCGAATGAAAAGAAACCCCCCAAATTGTTCAGGATTCCCCCTCCCCCTTCCATTCACTGATTTATTAACCCTGAACAAAGATGTAATTGCAGGGTCTCAGAAACAACTTTTTTTTTTCCGTCCTTTTTTTTTTTTTTTCATTTTTGGCATTTGTTTGGCTTTGAATTGCTTAATATCTAGTCATGCCATTTATTGCCTGTTTTCTTCACTCGGTTGCCCATCGTTCCCCATCACTCCCCCCCCCCCCCCAAAATGAAAGAAGCATCAGCTTCTGAGTCTTAAGGATGAGACCTCTGCATTTTCTTTGCTTGTTTAGGGCAAGAAATGAAGTGCTGCCTCTTTAATTGGCAGAAGCATGCAGGAGGAGCATACCTTTAATTTAGTGTTGGGATACCTCACTTGCACCCTGGCTGTTGTCTTATTGGAGACGGCAGCCTGCCTGAGATCCTCTAGCACTGAAATAATATCATCCAGCACGCATTTCTTATCCTGATTTCTCAACACACACAGATGGGAAAAAGTATAATTATAGCCCTTGTGGTTCACCTTCATTTCCAGCACGGCTCGGTGGGTCTGCAGGATCCCCTCAACCTGGAGCAAAATATTGTCCCCGGGTGGGGAGAGGAGGATCACCCTGCCATACCTCCCGGGGGTGTGTAAGTCCGAATAGAGCTGGCTTTTGGACTGGTCCAGGGGGAAAAGGCTGCTGGCCAGGCTGCGCTCGATCTTGGCCAGGCTGTGGCTGGGAGCGACCAGGCGCTCCAGGTCGCCCTCGGGCTGGAAGCGGTTGAGCGCGCTGAGGCCGAAGGTGATGGTCAGGACTGCGGGCACGGTGAGGAAAAAGACCGGGTGCCGGCTCACGCACAAGCCCAGCCTGTGGCAGAACGACTGGAGCCCTCTGCGAAGCACCTGCCGCAGCATCCTCCACCAAATCCAGCTCGCAGGCGCTCCCGGCCGTCTTAAAAAGCACATGTGACATGTGTAAGCGCCGGGCTACCCCGCTTCTCTCCACGCCCCCCACGCCCCGTCTCTCCCCCTCCGGGTCGGCCCCCCGCCCCACAGCCGCCGCCGCCTCCCGCCCCCTCCGCGCTCCCCGCGCCGCCCCTCTCCTCCGCCCGGTCTTTCCCCGGCCCCACCTCCATGCGCTCCTAGTACTCTTTCAAACACTGCAGCAAGTTGCAGCAAGGCGGGCAGATAGAGACGGCGCGCGCGGGGGCGGCCAGCGGGCGCTGCGAGGGCCCCGGGGCCCACCCCTGCCCGCCCGCCCCGGCCGCCTCCCGCGCCCCCTTCTCACCGCATGAGCAGCGATCCCGCGGTCTAGCCCTTCATGTCGGTGCTGCAGTCCCCCGGTGTCCCTCGCTGGAGCTGGTTCCGCGCGGAGCGTCCCACAGATGTGAATTTCCTCTCCGTCCCGGTGGCGTTCGGCGCCTAACTGGAACCATGTGGCTTGGCGTTGTAAGAGGCAGACTTGTGCCCCACGAAGGGTGGGGGGGAGAAGGGGAGGGCGAGAGCGGGGGATGGAGGGGGGCAGCCAAGCTTTTCCTTTTTGGAAGCGGCTAACAGTTATTTTTAGAGTTTTGTTTTCCCTCTTCCTCCTTCCCCTCCGGAGTGAATGGAAGAGGAGATGGGGAAGCCGCCGCCGGCCCATTGGAGCGGTGGCGAGGAGAGCCTCAGAAGGGGGTTGGGGGGGGCGTGGAGGGAGGGACTCGAGGGCTTCCGGAGGAGGCAGCCTTTGCGCCCCTCGTTTCCTTGTGCTCTCGAATTCGGCTTGTCGGACCAAGGAACGGAGCTGAGAGGATGATGCTGCATTTTTAACACACCACAAAGCATGCAAGGGATTTCCTTGCAAAGCCTTCCACGCTGTCTTTCCCCAGGCTTCAGAGACCCCATCTATTGGCGGTGCGTTGGGGCTCTAGGGATCCTTCCTTGCTCTGGTGATTGGAGACGAGGCATTTGCCAATAGCAGTCGCTTGTGGCTTCAGGGGTGTGTGTGTGTGTGTGTGTGTGTGTTGGAAGGCTTCGGGTGTGTATGTGTTGGAAGTGAAGATCCGCAGGCAATATGTGGTTTCTCATAAAATATTGCATTCACTTCCGTACTTTTGAAGTTTAGGACCAAAAGTTCCTAAAACTGGTTTTAGTCTTTTTCTCCCATTTCCCCTTCTGCCCTTCATTCTTGAGGACTGAGAATCTATCTGATTTTTACCCTCGGAGTGAAATTCCAGAAACAAACGTTTTGGGACACCTAACGCCTAGTCTTTGAAGAAAGAAGGTGAGCTAGGTAGAAGGGATACACATTAGAGTCAACTAATGTATAAAACAGTCACCTTCGCCATATGGAAAATGGAAGAACCTTTACCTGAAAATTAGATCAATTTCAAATACTTTAATAAGTGTGTGTATGCTGTTTACTATCTATTGGGACTTTCACAAATTCATGTTCTAGAAAGAATAGGAAGAAATTTTGAGGGCAGGTTCTCAAGTTTGATGATGAACTGGAGATGTGCTCTCCAAAGTTTCTATTCTTTTTACATTGACCTAATAGAGATGATTTCACTCACACTCTCTTAATCACATCCTTCACAGGATGCTTAGAGATGCGCCCATCAAAGCATACAAACTAGCCAAGGGATTTATCCACCTAATTGATGCCTTTATTTTTGTTAATGGATCTGTTCTTCAGCAGAGAGACCAAGGAGACAGGAGAGAGCTCAGAAACAGAGTCACTGCTAAAGATGGTGTTGCTCATAAGAATAAAGAAAAATCTTAGCCCTTAAAAATGGAAAGTGTTCTTGGTGACCATTCAGCTTGAATTTCTACCCAGGACAGAAATACTTCCTATAATATTCCCAGTGGTTCTCTATCCAGCCCAGGCTGCAAATTCTCACAACTAAAAGCTCACTAATTTTTCTAGGAACCAATCTGTTTTTAGACAGTTTCCTTAAGTTCAGCTAAACTCATTGTTCTTGCAACATTCATGGACTAGTTCTCCCTCTTTTTCACCCGGAAGGGTCCCCCGTGCATCCAACAGTCACTTTATGTAATGTATTCCACTAATGCCAAGTGATAGAGAATTGTTTTTGGCTATACAACAAAGAGGAAATATATCTATCATCCATTTTCTACACCCTCTTCATTATATTAAGTATATTTGGCTGTATCACCTATGCGAAATTTTCTAAGAAATAGTCTTGTTGCAAAATATAGAAGAATAGACTTCAGGAATGGAATTTTACTTGGTGTCAAGTAAGTTACCGAGTTTATATTATGGATAAAGACATTTTGTGGATAAAGACATTTTGTAGATAAAGAACTGTAGAGTGACGTGAGTTTAAGGCTACACTTAGAGTTATTTGCAGAGCTGACGCCAGTGACTGGCCTTGGTCTCCCATTTCTGGGCCCAATGCATTTTCCCTGTCAGCTCTGGATCAGGCTGGTGCCTCTCTTTCTCACAATGAACAGATAGGTCAGAATTGTTTCCTCTTTTCTTACTCTGTCCGTTTTCCACACCTCCTTCCTCAGTAAATTCAGTAGGATTAAAGAAGAATAAGGGCTTTCCTACTGGCTCAGCAGGTAAAGAATCTGCCTGCAATGCAGGAGACACGGGAGATGTCTTCCTTGGGTCAGGAAGAGCCCATGAAGGAGGAAATGACAGTCCACTCTGGTATTCTTGCTTGGAGAATCCTATGTACAGAGAAGCCTGGCAGGCTACAGTCCATCCGATCTCAAAGAGTTGGACAACGACTGAGCGACTAAGCACATGCACACAGAAGAATAAAAAGATAGTCAATGGGTAATTGACTAAATAACTCTGGATCCATCCCTAAGATGAACTACTTTGATATAAATACAAATTATGTTGTAAGAGTATAATGACGTGAAAACATATAATGACATAAAGTTTAAGTGAACAAGTATATACTGGATGAAACCACTTTGAAAAATGAAGATAGACCCATTTAAAAAAAAATAGGTTAAATCAGCATTAAAATGTCTGTCTATTGCAAGATGATAGGATTAAGATGTGATTTCTTTTTTAAATAACTTCTAAATTTTAGAACTGTTTTAAGTTATGGAAAAGTTGTGAAGACAGGACACAGAGTGTTCTTATATCTCACATTCAGTTTCCTACTGTCAATTTCTCACATTAGTATGGTACTTGCATGACAATTCATGAACCAATATTGATACATTATTTTTAACTGAAGTCTATACTTTAGATTTTCTTCATTTTTACTAATATCCATTTTTTGGGTCCAGAATCCCATTCAGGACAATACATTGCATTTGGTTATCCTATTGCCTTAGGATCCTCTTGGCTGTGATAGTTCTCAAACTTTCCTCCTTTTTGATGACCTTGATAGATTTCAGGAGTACCGGTCACATACTTTGTAAAATGTCCCTCCCCTGGGAATTGTCTGATTTTATTTTTTCATGATTAGACTGAGGTAAGGAGTTTTGTTGAAGATGCATACAGAGGTAAAGTGCTGCTTTCACTACAGCTTATGGAGGGTACGCTCTATCAATGTTACTTGTCACTATGGATATGAACCTTGAATACCCTACCTGAAGTAGTGCTTGTAAGGTTTTTCTGCTTTAAAGTTACTCTTCTTCCATTTGCCTTTCCACACTGTCTTCTTTGGAAGGAAGTCAATATGTACAACCTACACTTAAGGAGTGGGAGTTATGGTTCACCTCTTTCCTCCTTGAGATTGGAGTCTCCATAGGTTATTTGGAATTTTTCTACATGGAATACTTTTCTCAATATAGACATGGATATTTCTAGAGAGTTATTTTATATTTTGGGCTATAATTTTGATATTACTTTGTTTACTTTGTTACCCAAATTGTTCCAGTTTTGGTGATGGGGAGCTCCTTTGACATATCCCATTATTGTGAGATATCTTTTTTAAAAGTATTCCTTATTTTCTGGCAATATAAGATACCCCAGGCTCATCTCCTATCTTTCCTGCTCCAATTCTAAAATCATCCATTTTTCCAAGGGGCCATGCTTCATTTTATTGTACAGTGGTAACAGAAACAAAGATTTGGGCACCTTATGTGCTGCTTGCTCTTGGGATGTTATTGCTTCTAAGCCCTCTCAGCTGACAGAGAAAGGAAATACATGGGTCTGTACTAATCCCTGTATATGTGTATATATAGAGTTCTTTATGTAACTCTCTGTATCCATGTTAAGCTAAATATGAGTTTATACTTTCGTCTCCAACTATAATCTATTGCCAGATGGATATTGTAGCCTCTTCCCGTTGCTTACCTATAACTTCCCCCTCCAACAATGAAACACTGACTCTGTGGGAAATTTTGAAATCACATTGCTATAATGAAAGCATACTAACTTTTAATTAGAAAAAAATATTTAAGAGAAAGAAGAAAAGTATGGTTTCTTAATTTTAATTTTACAAAAAATGCCAAATATCATATTAGAAAGATAAATTATATGCCAAAATTAAAGGCGATGTTAGGAATACTCTAGATCAACCTACAGGTTAATTTGCACTAAACCATTCAGTGGATACCAGTTGTGTGATGATTCTAGTGAATCTGATGTAAAATAAAGCTTAGTATAAAGGTGAAAGCAGTGCAGTTTGGGAACAGTCAGTGATAACACAATATCTGTGCTGTTTAGTTATAGGGTTTGTCTTTTCTGATATATCTTGGCCAAGGTGAATTTTCAAGACTTGGAACCCAGTCAGATTTTATCTACTTGTCCTTTTGTAGGTTAGGGCACTAGAAGGAGGTGAACTTGGACACAGAATGGTTGAGTTCTAGGTCAGCTCTACAAGTTACTTCATGGATATTTTGGGCAGGACACTAAATCTCTGAGCCTCAGGTTGTCCATATTTGTAAACCTATTAACCTACTTGTTCACTTCAGTCATATCACTGTTCACCAAAGCTGTGACTCTGCTGCATTAATTAATGCTGTAATATGAGCAATTGTAGCAAATAAAACAC